GGCATATCAGCTTGGGCAGAACCTACAAATGCCCGGTAACATGCCCGCTCATGCCTCCTATGGACCTGGGTTCGCTACAGGTCTCCCCCAACAACACTTTATGTCTCAACAAGGCTCACAGTACAACGCCTATCCTTCCTACCCGACAAACCAGCCTCGTCTAGCAGGCGTGGCGCCAATGCAGTCGCCCTACCAAAACTATCAGCAGGCTTCGCAGTACATGTATTATCCGGCACCATACGGACAACAGGGGCAATTCAATCCTGGGTTTGGTGCTCAGAGCCAAATGTACGAAAGGAAAGCCAGCTCGACGAACACGGGTATGCAAGGTCATGTTGCGGATTATTCGCATGGTGATGGTGGCTTCCCTGGTGTTCGAATGGCTACTGGAAACTACATGGGCGACTCAAGCTCAATCATGTCTCCATATGGCATACAGTTCGCGCAGTCTTCAGGTAAGCAAAGTCCGCGATCTGCTATTGTGCAGGTCTTACGTCGCAAAATGGTGCGTGCAGCTACTGATGATCTTATAGGCATGCCTCGTCCCGGACCAGTGAGCTCCATACCTCGTGGACCGCCTCGCAAACCCAAACAATCTGGGCACGCACTTTGGGTTGGTAACCTCCCACCTGGGACTACGATAGTCGCTTTGAAGGACCACTTCTCCCGCGATGCTACCAAGGACATTGAAAGTCTGTTCTTGATTTCTAAGAGCAACTGTGCATTCGTCAACTACCGCACAGAAGCATCTTGCACGGCCGCAATGCATAGATTCCACGACTCACGCTTCAGCGGCGTACGTTTAGTCTGCCGCCTTCGACGCAGCTCTGCTCCGGCATCAGGGGTACCCACGGCGCCTTCAGCCATGATAGGCCAGCAAAAGAATGCTTCTCGAGCGACGACACCAACACAGGACAATGTCACCCATGCTCCCACCGAAGACGCAGTTGACTCGCTATCGCACAAAGGTGTTGAAGATGTTAAATCATCTGCGGACACTGCCACAAAATACTTCATCGTGAAAAGCCTTACGCTACAAGACCTGGAGCTCAGTGTTCGGAACGGTATCTGGGCCACACAGTCTCACAACGAAGATGTCCTGAACAAGGCTTTCCAGGTGAGCGCACAATCCTCTCCACATTCAAGACCGTTGACTGACAGAATCTAGTCTGCTGAAAACGTTTACCTCATCTTCTCCGCGAACAAGTCGGGCGAGTACTTCGGCTACGCACGCATGGCGTCGCAAATCCTTGAAGATGGGTCTCCCACCATAGGCTCGGCACCAAAGTCCGAAGCCATCGTAGACGCGACGGATGTGCCAAAGGCGATCGCTACTCCGGCAACGGAATGGGCGCCGCGAGGAAGGATCATTGACGATTCTGCGCGCGGCACAATTTTCTGGGAGGCAGAGCTACCCGAAACAGACGGCGAAGAAGAAGCACAAGACAATGACGACAAGACTGAGAGAGACGATGCGCCGCAACAAACTGAAGCCGACACCTCAGCCGTTCCGCAGAGCTGGGGCAAGCCTTTCAAAATCGAGTGGGTCTCTACGAACCGCCTACCATTTTACCGCACTCGTGGCCTCCGCAACCCATGGAATGCGAATCGCGAAGTCAAGATTGCGAGGGATGGCACAGAACTCGAACCCAGTGTTGGAGAGCGCCTGGTCCAGATGTTTCATCGAATGGGCCCGTCGGCTGCCGGTGCACCGGTAATGCCGCCCGGTGTAGCCACCGGCATGATGCCCCAGATGCGAACATTCTAGGCATGTGTCAGGCCTCAATCGGGCTCATTGCATAGCACTTGATGTACGTACCCGACGCTCGTTTACCGTTGAACTCGGTTAGGACGACTTGGAGCTTGAGAGGTAACGATGCGCCTCTTTGTTACAATTGGAAGAATTTTGTCGGGCCCTCCACTGCCGGGCAGTGGGCGCTAGATTGAGCTCTTCTGCATCATTCGCTTCTGCTATCTTTTATCACCGAGGAACGAAAACTTGACGATGACATGATCTTCTAATAGGCAAGACGAGATCAAGAAAAACGTAGGATACGAAGCTAGTGCTTGGATTCGTGTGGGTAATTGAGTATGCTCTCCTTCCCACATCGTTCTCTTGTCACCGTAGTTTCATTGGAGTTATCCATTTCTGTATTCTTATTACTCTCATTCGTAATGTAACATACTCTCCTGCATCGTCTCGCTCGGACTTGTCCTGTGTTTTGCGCGCAAACCCCGGTTGTACTTGAACCGCAGCCCCTGCTCATGGTCTTTTCAGTTTGTCCATATTTCGTACATGCAGAACTTGACTTTATCTTGATCGGCCCTTTCGGGGCTGGCAGGGTCGTCGCACGGAGGTTCTCGACCTCTTCGTTCTCGTTCTGGCCCTTACTTGCGTCTAGTGTCTCCGGGTAGGGATACCCACCTTGACGGGTTACCTGGCCGCAACCTATAAAACGGCTGCTGGGCAGACACAACGTGGAGGAGCACCATGATCAGCCCACTGCTCCGTCGGTAGTAGAAGGCCCTGGCCACAATCAATGCTCAGGTAGGAAAGTCGCCATCACGACTACAAGGTTCAAGGTCCGTACAAAACGACCGACGCTAGACACCTGCGACATGCCTCCAAGAATCGTCATGGTAAAACGTAAACTTTACGCTACCTCCACGTGTCCTTGCACATGCTCAAGTGAGCAGCATCCCAAGCTCCCTCGGTGGTCCCCTCAGATTTTGCAGAGCACCCAGGTACGTAGAACAAGGATCGCACCCAAAGCCAAGCCCAGCAACCCGCGCATCTCCGGACGAAATTCTGAAAAGCCTCATCCCCATCCATCGCTTCCGAGCTTGCCATAGTAGCCCCAACGCTTTCTGCACACCCACACACACACATGGACCAAACTCTGGCAACGCCGTTATACCCGAGAGCAACAGACAGCTAGCTAAACAAGCGGAAACGCAGAATGCAGAAGGACAGTGCGAAAAGGCACAAACCTTCCCACCCACATAGCCACATATGCATATCCTTCACTATAACCAGTCCAAGCAAAAAACCCGCAACACATGCCCCCTCCGCGAGATTCTAGAACCCTCCCCGTCTCGCACACGACACACAAGCCTCAAAGTTACACAGCAAGCATCGCAAATCTAGATCAACGATCCACGATCCGCGTCATCCGCTGCCATGCCATTTCACAGTTTTGCCCATGAGCGTCTGTGCGTTACTTTTCGCTGCCAAAACGCCGGTGTGCCGGTTCTCTCTCACACGATTTTTGAGTGGGGAGGAAAGAGAGAGGGAGAGAGAGGGTCCGCGGAAGGGTAAGCTCGGGCCTCGCGCTAGTACCCGTAGTGCAGGCTGATGAGTAATGGCGGTATACTGGATCGCGATTGCTTTGGTGCTGTTGGGTGAGATTTGATACGCTCCGGCGTTTTGATCAACTTCCTTCTTTTTTTTCGGTCGCTCCGCGTTCGGCGGTGTGTAGAATGTGCGATTTCTGGTACCTAGCTCTTGGTAGTAGTGGTGATGGCTACATACACCTGAAGAGGGAGGTGGAAAAGAACAAAAGGGGGAACAGGGGGTTCGTAACGTTGCTTCTTTCATTGTCGTTACTTGCTTCCTCGGTCTGCTTGTACCGAGACTGGGTTTAGTGGGACTCACATGTAACTGGTAGCTAGGTCTTCTTCCCATGAGGCTCATCAGAACTATATCTTGGGTAAATCGTGCAGAGCCTCGTCATCGGTTTTCTGCACTCGGCTTTCCTCGTTTCTGCTCGCTCGCGGTTGATGTACCCGATGTGCACGGCTCGCTCACGGCATTTCCCGCTTTACGTGTAGCTTTTCTAGTGGGGTTATTTTTTTCCATCTTGAAATGGCTTGTATTCTCTTCTAGTATTCACGAATTCATTGATGGGAGCGCTTTATCATCAGCACCTCTAGTTATTAGGCCGGAGCCGTGCCATTAGTACCATCACGTGACCTTAGTTGGCTCGCGGAGTACCCAGACGTGGAAGACAAACGATCATGATTCCGAACGGTCCATATACAGTCAAATGATCGGAATGCAAGATCATAAAAGATATTCGAAGTAGCGATTGCCCTCATTCGGTGTATGGGAGCAAGCTGCCTGCCGCTACGTCTTGTAGAGGGCCAGGGGTTTACAACAAACAGGTACGAGGAAAGAATCATACACGTATGTGTTCCTGGGTCATGGATAGCTATAATCCATCCTGACGCAAGAATCATGTTATGTAACCAGCACAGTCGGTCGCCCCTTCCGAGACTGCACATGTCGCTGCCGAACGTCGTTACATAAGCCATCATTCCAAAACGCCTGCAGCTCTGTTCACTGATTAGGTCGGGAGCAAAAATCTCATTTTCCAATGTGACTCTCTCACACGACATCGAACTCCGTAGTGGCGTTGAGGTCGACTCTGACCACGAATCGAAGGAGCAAGGAAGGCCATCGGCAGCGTGGCAGTCGCAACAGGTTACAGCACAGCCGATTCGATCGCGCAGGGTAAACAGACCTCTTGCTGCCTTTCGACACAGACATTAAGCCGCTGAAGAGGTCCTCAATGAGTAAGAGACCCGTTCATGATCGGATAGACCTCTTCAACACGCTCAGCTACCGCCCGGCAAAGCTGTAACCCCCCACCGGCCTCGCAAGTAGAGGTGTGCACTCCTATGAGGACTTGATCTGACATGGAGTAGCTTCGACGAACCTGTCTTCTGTAGAAAGACACAACCAAGGCCATTTTCGTGTGGAGCGCATCCATGCGTCCTGCTTTCTTCCGCGGTGTACCACTCGAGACAGACTCGGTGCAGCAAACTTGAGCTGCCGTACCTAGGTATCGCTCGCTCCGCAACGTGACACGAAAAGGGCGTAAGGGCGACACTCAAGAGGCACCTGCCCTATTAAGGCGCTCAGTCAGCCGCGCAACCAGAGCATCCACTCTTCACATCACCTGCAACGATATTCTCCTTCTCCATCGATACTAATTAGCATGGCAGTTATTCTGCAGGAGGTTTCCGACACCGACATCGCGCGAGGCTGTGAGATCGAGTCTCTAGCTTTCAAAGATAACCCTCTCGGCCCCATCCTAAACCCAGATCCGTTTCCTCCGGGAGCATCGCAACAAAGAATCCAGCAGATCATTGATATGAGGAAGAACGAACCTACTGTCCAATTAATTCAGGCTTTCGATGAAGAGACTGCTCAAATGGTAGCATGGGCGAAGTGGCACGTCTTCGAAACCGCCGAGGCCGCACTCGCTTCGTTCCAACCTCTGCGCCTTGGACATGGAATGAATGCGGAAGCCTGCAAGGTTTTCTTTGAAGGAATGGCAGAGCGGAGGAAAGCGATCATGGGAGAGAAGCCGTACCTGTGTAGGTCTGCTCTTTAGATGTGTCGCGGCGTGAACTCACACCGTCTCCATATTAATAGATCTCAGACCTTCAATTGCTATATACACATCCTGGTTTCCAGGGCATGGGTGCAGGGAGTCTCCTCATAAGCTGGGGAAAGCAGCGTGCTAAAGTTCTTGGTCTTCCGATGTATCTGGCGTCCACTCCCGTTGGCCATCGCTTTTACCAGAAACACGGTTTCGGAGACGTCGAAAACTTTCGACTGGATTTCACCAGCTTTGGCGGGCCTGTTCATGAACAGCCGCTGATGGTGTGGAAGCCACCGAAATCGTGAGCAAGCTATTGCCAATAGCATCAGTCGCACCATACGCGCTCTACTGATTTGGGAAATTTATCCCATGCTCAAGATTGCATATTCATCTGTCAAGATGTCCTCGTGTTATTCCTACTGGTTGCGTTTTCGAAGTCGTATATGTACCGCGCATCAGCTTGTTTGTTGTGTCACCGTTGATACTCGGGTCGAAAGTCACGCATCTTAGCCCCTCCGGCGTTCTCGATGTTGATTTCAGTGATACCCTTTGCGTTACCATCTACCTTTGCATAGCCATGACTATGTTACAAGCGACGAAATCAGCGAATATCATTGTAGCACCCTGTCACTGTTCTCTCCAACCTTTGCGCAGTATCGTCGATGGTACCATCGAAGGTCACATGTCGTAGGTATTGCGCGAACGGCATTCTTCCGACCACGCCACCTTGGCGAAGGACCATATTCTGCCGGAATTCAGATTAAGGGAGGCAATCTCGTTAACGCGCTCGCATGTCCCATGCTTCTTCGTCAACCTCCCTTCTCAACACAAAATTCTGTCCGAACATTACTACCCAGACGCTGCAAGTTTGGGATGAATTCACCAGTCACTTCCGGCGAAGGAACCTTCGATCCAGACCAGGTAGTATCGCAAGCCTACCACGACGCAGCTGATGCGAGTAGAAGCTCTGCTGATACATCGCCTTTGCAAAGGATACCCAGAGACGACGATGTTAGCCTGAGGACAGAAGCTTTAGACCGTCTGAGATGGAACGTCCTCGCCTCACCATCGACAGTCGAAGTCGTCGACCTCAACGAAGCAAGCGAGCTCAACGAAGCAAACGAGCTATGCTGGAAACTCCTGTTAGCAGATCCCAAGCATCCTCTAGCCGAAGACCCAGTAACCTCACCACCAAGTTCCCGCATCCATATCATGCTAGCCATGATCGATCACTGGGAATGCTTGGGTATGATCGATGAGAGTCCACCGCCTTTACTCATTCATAACACAGACAGACGAGCTATCACTGTTGAGCAATTTGTCACAGAAGTTTCAGCATATGCGAAAAGCTTGCGAGAGTTCATTGACGAGATTGAGAACGTGAGTTCGGCGGCGGAGAAGGAGAGCCGTTGTCTTTACTATGATTCAGCTGATGGATTGGAGAGCCTGGATAGTGGTGGCATGGAAGATGTCTTTCCTCTTCACTTCATGTCCAGCCGGTCAAATTCAGCGGAAGAGTTCAGGAGAGAATGGATGAAAAGAGAAACGCTGTTCAAAGAACACATGTCTTGCAACCCTACAAATGGAATCCACATCGCGCCAGGGTCGATAGATTTCGCCGAGGCAAGTAGGAACTTCCGCCTCCTTCCTGAAGAGGTTCCTCGTGAGGAGGAGAGCCTCTTGCACACGAGTGCTTTAGACCGCCTACGTTGGGACCTACTCGCCCCACCATCTACCGTTCTAATCATCGACTCCAATGAAGAGGGCGAGCCGAGCTGGCGGCCGATGCTGGTGGATCTAAAACACCCTCTAGCTGATGAAGCTGTTACCGAAGTACCGCGTTCACGAATGTGTGTAGCATTTGACATGGTCGAAGCTTGGGAGTGCTGGGAGAGGTACGATGACAATCCACCCCCACCGCCTCTTCTCATCGAGAATTCCGATGGGAAGGCCATCACTATCGAGCAGTTCATCGTCAAGGTCTCCCAATACGCTCAGAGCTTGCGGGAGACGATTTTCGAATGTGAGGGTCGCGCTCTGTCGGGGTCCGAGGGCGCGTGTCTTTGGTTCGATGCGGCATTTGGACCGAAACGGAAGGATGCCGAAGATCCAGATATCTTGTTCCTCGTCGGATTCACGTCCAATTTCTGGTTCTCAAGCAGCCAAATTGAGGCGGACCATGTTCGGAAGGAGAAGAAATTTTTCGAACGATCAAGGTAGAGCGGACTTGACGCTCCGTCCTTAGCACGAATGGCTGCAAAGTAGCGAAACGGTCTTCCGCGATTGTTCCTCTTCCGACGGATGGTGTGCAAGATTCAAGAGCCATTGTACCGCAGAGTGTCAGATTACGTCCCACACTCCATCCGGTAGACCAATATGACGAATAGTCACTATCGAAGCGGAATGATCCGAAGGGCGCTTGATATGTTTTGCTACTGGAATGGCAAGGTGGATGTGCTGAGAGAATTGGTCGGCCAGATTCAGATCGGCGTTTGGAAGACATTGGGGCCGATGCGAAGACAGATCTTCAATCGTGAGACAGTCGGTATGCGTTATCAGAGTACTAGGTATGCATTGGGAACGCTCCAGCAGTAAACAGTGTGGATAGATCAGGTCGAGCGTGACGTGGAAGAATAGTACGACACTCACCGCAAAGATGAACACACCGCAAAGATGTACTCACCGGAACCATTTCCAGGCGGACTTCGCTTACAGTTCTTTTCTCAACGACGCGCGCGGCGGATTGTCGTCGGAAGAACGCATCCGTTTGGTGGCGTCCAGTGAGCGAGCGTAGAGCTTTGCTTCTTTTCAACGGAGAACAGAGTGCGCCTTGGATTTTGTTACCATATTTGTTGAAGTCCCGAAATAGTGCATCTTGTTAGAGGAGTGTCACCTATCTGCCCAGACATCTTTCATTCACTAGTCACCCTTGTGTTTGACATCTCAATATGGGAATTTGCCGCCCCACGAATTTCCCATGTCTGATCGACACCTAGAGATAGCCGAAAGTCGATTAGCCAGTCGTGTAGGGGTAGAGGCTAATCTAGAAGGAGCAAGTCTACATCAGATGGTTGTGGTCGACAATGCCATCTATTGTAAATTTAATTGCGATGCTCGTCAATAGCTCACAAATGTGTTCCAAGCTCAATAGCACGTCGTGCCAGAGCTATACAAAGTTCATATGCCAACCGTGAAAACATGCGCTTGTACTGGATGACTTTTGCTTCTTTCAGGCGGTCGGGGAGGCGCCAAGGTGATCGGGATACTGTCGGTGAGGCTGGCCGACGAGGCTGTCGTTTCGCTGAGTTCGTCCCGTGCCACTCGGGAAACTTCAATCATTGCTTCTTTCGGGCGGTCGATGAGATTGACGCTGCTTAGCACTTAAGGTACGTACGTGGTGTGGGAAGGCGATTCCTTATCGAGCTTAGCACAGACGCCGAGTGGCATGCGGGAGGCGGCAACAACGGCTGCACCCCACCGTGACACTTACCCCCACCACACCACCCCAGGGTAGATCCGTTACTTACAGCAGCGACTAACACAGATAGCTTCAGGATAAGCAGACTGACCGCTCTCTGGTTACGGATTATCACCGTATCCGCTGTACTTCTTTTCCCTGATGAGGCTAGAGGGGCCAGTGCACCCTTAGGAGAATCAGGTACCGAACGAGCGAAACATCGAAGCACGGTTCGCTACAGTGTGTCGTACCTCACCCTACTACCCCAACGCTTCTGACACTATGCAAAAGACAAAGTGGTCTCGTGAAAGCTTGCGCTTGGCACTCAACATGCTCTCAGCAACTGTCGGTCTGGCATTCTTGCACGTTCCATTGGACGATCTCCTGTATCCTCACCGGACTGTATGAGACCTGCGCGAAAAAGAAGCAAGAAAGAAGACCTCAGAGCAGAAGAGACACGATGTTCAGCACGTCGAAGATGTGTATATAAGACCTGACATTCTCGACTCCAAGTTCAATCATCAGCTCATCACAACAATCACTACAACAAGCATCTTCACTTCCACAACACCACTCACTCTTACAACTTCCAATCGTTCTTTCGATCCCAACAACAACTTCAAAATGCAGTTCTTCATCACCATCCTCTCCCTGGCTGTCGCCGTCTCCGCTGTTCCCCAAGGCAACGGCAACGGAAACACCATCTGCAAGGGCGGAAACGAGAGGGCAGTCTGCTGCGCTTCCAAGGATGCGCTCGTCGGCGCCCTTGAGTGCGTCACTCTCCCCATCAGCGTCCAGCAGCCCGGCTGCGATGGCAGCATCCGCTGCTGCGACATCGGTGACCAAAAGGATGTGAGTCACCCCCTTTCACGCTCGCCTCCATCAACTCATACTAATCTGCAACACCAACAGGGTATCGTCAACGTCAACGCCCTCAACTGCGCCAGCGTCGCATAAACAGATCGGTCACACATTTCGGGGCATGGAACAATTCCGCAGGAAACAGGGATGGGCGCTACAGGAGGACATGTCACACTGTTCGCAGGGGCTTTTCTGGATTTCTACTTCGCTCATTCTGGGTCTTCCGATGATTTCTTCTCTTTCTTTGGAGGACCGCTTTATGAAGTGGTTTCTCAACTCTTGGGCGTTCAATTTTAGACATGGGCTAGATGTTTTGGTGTTTAGTAGAAAATGCGATTCATGATCAAACCACAAATCTGTTCCACTGCTCAAGAGCTCGATGCCTCATTTGGAAGTGTACTGTCTGCTCTTTTACGCTAAAGATTGCAGTGCAGGATCCCTCGCTTATCATGCTTGGAATCCTACAGCCTCGGCTTCTCAGCCTTATTACTCTACCTGTTCGTCCGTACTAGAAATTGCAGTGCAGGCTGTATTCTCGGCACAACAGGATGTACCTCAGCCTTGCTCTCTGACCTGCTCTTTCGCGCTAGAGATTGCAGTACTAGTGCAAGATCCTGCATTTTACTACGATAGGTGCATTCGTGATGCGCAACGTCAGAATAGGCAATGCAAAAGACGGAACCTACGTCGTTGATACCAATATGTTTCCGCATACCCAGCCTTGCTCTCAGCATAGCCCCGCGGTATGAAGGACGTTCTTGTATAGTCGTGACGTCGGCACTTCGACAGCGATGGCTCAATCTACTCTTTCAGAAATAAAGGCCGAGGAAAATACACCATGTGAACGGGAAAGGAACCTTTTGTCCCGTGACATGAAGTTGTCGGGTCTGCTCCAGGGCTGCGACAACACACACATTCACTCCTGGGTTCCCCAGACCCTGTCCCAGTTTGGCAGTTTCACAATGGACCATCGATTGCAGTGACATTCAGAACATTACAATGCATCACATAAATCCCACGTGTTCTGGCGACTTTTGTACCAAGTCTCGAAGAAAACGTGACAGCAGTCCCGATTAGGCAAGTTTTGACTTGGCGTGGATTTCAGCAAATAGCACCAATGACTTGGTGGACCTGCGTGAAGTTGCGACCCAGCGCCTGCTCTGTGCCACAGCCACCATCTGAACAAATATGGTCCATGCAAATCATATGGAATGAGATGGATCATGTAAACCGCACGTAACACCACAGCATGGACTACTGTTGATAACACGACTTTTATATTCTATGCATTGAATTCCCGGTATATCATCCCAAGAAACAGATCCAAACGCCGATCATGCATTCATAACCTCCTTTCCTTTTTCCCTATTCCCTCCCTTACGCATCGACATCTAATCAACATACTCAGATCGCACCTTCTTCGCCCTCCTCTTGTTGGCCTTGAAGTGCTTCTTGCTGTTCATCTTCATCTCAGTGGGATCGACATCTGCCTCAAGCGCCGCAACCATCTTAGCTTTCCTACCACTCAGCTCCTTACCCTGCTCACTGTACTTGTAGTGGAAGGGTTGGTTGACTCTGCCCATACCCTGTCCGGGACCGAAGAAGCGCTTGTCCATGCGTTGTGTCTTTTCTCCTTGGACGGGTACGCCGGCGTCGAGCTCGTCGTCCATCAGCGACATGTCATCATCTAGCGCACCGGCGAGGGAGGTGTTGCCGGGGAGGGAGGCAAGAGGGTGATGTCGGCGCTTGGCGGGAAGATGGTCGACGTCGTAGAGTTCGCGGTTGAAGTGCTTGGGGTCTAGCGGTGGGTCGGTGGGTGGAGGGTGGCAGAAGAGAATCTTGCCCTTGACGTAATCCTTAAGGATGTATCGCGCCGCTCGAGACTCGTCTGGCTGACCTAGACCCTGTGTGGAGAATCCTCGGGCGATGGCATAAGCACGTAGAATTTCCTCGGATGTCAGAATACCAGTCCCGCCTTCTTCCATCGGTCGAGGATGAATCTTCATTCCGTAAAGCGCTTCAAGGAAGGGTTGCGGAATGCGACGTGCGACAAGACCCGCGGGACCAGTGTACTCGCGAAGTTGGTCGATCGGCAGCACACCAGCACACACGAGCTCGGCTTTGGTTGTGGCGAAGTTGGGGAACACTAGACCAGGACAATCGCAGAGCATGACCTTGTCGCTGAGATGGATTGTCTGGAAGTGCTTGGTCTTTCCGGGTGTTGCAGAGACCGACACCTTCTTTGCACCAATCAGCGCGTTAATCGTGGACGACTTTCCGACGTTGGGGTAACCGACAAGACCAATCGACGTCTTTCTTGGCTCGCCATTTGGTCCGGTATCAACATCAGGCGCATGTTGGAGGAACAGGGCTTCAAGGTCCTCTGTTGTTAGTATCCGCGTGCGCTCGTCGCCGTCCGCCTCAGCTTGGCTTGCGCCCGGTACGTCGACAGTCTCTTCGTCCACCCACTTTTCCTTCTCTTCCTGCTTGTCTTGCAGGTCAATCTTCTTGGCTTCTTTTGCAAGCTTGTCGTCTTCTTCCTCAAAGTCTTCGCCTTCATCAGTCACAAGCTCGTCAGAGTCGCCGGCATCGTCCGACTCGTCGTCGCTTGCCTCCAATTCAGCACGAGCCTCGTTCATCTCTTTGGCGAGTTCAGCCGAGAAGAACTTGTAGTTGATGCCAGCTTCGGTGAAGTAGTCAGCCCAAGCTTTCCGTTGCTCCAATGTCATCATATCTGCCTTGTTGACCAGCAACAGGTTGTTCTTCTTCGGGTCCACCTCTTTGACGTAGTCCTCCAAATCCTCTGATCGGAACATGAGCGGGTTACGGGCGTCCACAATCTGCACAACCAGATCTGACCGTTCAATAACACGCCACAATTGCCTCCAGACTTCGAGATTGC